AAAACATTTCGATAGAAATGAACATGTAGCACATTTAGTTTGCTACAAGTTATTGATATAAACGCAGCACTTACCTTTTCGTAGTGTGTTTCCGAACACATGTACACCAAGTAAGCGGTGATGCAGCCAATACATCCCTCACAATATGTACTACAAGAGCCTTTTTCCGCCTCCGCAAAAAATTCATTCAGCCTATTGATGGTTGACTCAAATACTTGCCGCTCAACCTGCACAAAGGGCGTATCATATTACAACTATCATATAAACACTTGCAGGTATGTCACTAGCCTAGCAAGGTCATGGACAGATTACTCACCAGGCCTTCTAGTTCGCTGGGGAGTCGTGTGTGGAATTTGACCGAGGTGCCTTCGCTGTAATCACGTTGTATGAACACCTTGTTGGATCCGCCCTGTAGCGAGGTTAAACCTTGCGACATTTTCCTTTTTCTACAAAAGAAAGAAACTCATATTTACATACTTATGTGGGGATATGTTAGATTTTTATCAAATGTCTGCAAACTCAAATGTGTAATATTTATGAAAAACTTAAAGTAATTTCACAGCACTTATGAGGACTGAACATTTTTTTGCTAGTTTGTGGAAAATCAGAATCAATTGTTTGCTTCCAATATGATTCAACGAAAAATTTTGATTAGAAAACACACCTTTTACTTTAACTCCGGAAATGCACAAGCTGTTTTTAAAACTATTTGCAAAAAGTTTTACAAATTTCCAATAAAAATTTGCGTAAACTTTAGTTTTTCAACGAGAGTTTTTCCTACCTTTCCTAGAGATGAAACAATACCAGTAAATATAAGTCGATACTCGATACTTTTCGCTCGATACCAAGTAATTTTGGAATCGATTCTTTGATACCAAGTACTGAGTAGGTATCGAAACACAAATACTCGTATTGACACCCGATACTCCCGCAAATTTGGCTTTGGCAATTTTTCCTCCACTCTTATTCCGAATATGAAGTACGTTGATTTTCATGGCTGCTTAAAAAGTTTGTTTGTTTTAAATACCATTCATCATTAAACAAAGGGTTTTAGTTTAGGATTCCCAGATATAGTTAACTTATGGCATAAAAACACAAAATTTAACTTATTTAGTTCATAAGGAATAGCTTTATAGCCAAAAGTATGGATATGAGAAGGTATTGATACTTAAGATACGATATATTTAAGGAATCGATTATTTCTTTCGATACTACTGCCAAGTAAAACTATCGATACCTGCAACGCATCGGTTCTTCATTAGCCTAACCACGCTTCTTCCTCTTTCCTGGTGAATCATCAACAATCACAAAAGGAATTACCAAAAATAGTGCGAGAAAGAGATGAAGATATGTGTAGTGCAAACTAATTTTTGTTCGTACTGTACGTTCAGTGTTGCATTATCTCAGCTGTTATTTCTCTACTTTAATGAAAAAATGCTTTGCTGCAAATAAGCGTTCTTGTGCTTGGCCGTTTCTGATATCACTTTTATATAAGAATCGGCATCGGCCGTTTTTGGCCAATTATTGAATGAGGTTATGTTATTTAGTTATTTGATTATGTTTTTCAATTGCTATTATAAAGTTTTTACAAGCATTTGTTCTTGAAATTAATTAAAATCAGGTTTTAATCAGACCAAGCATCGGCCGACTCTTTGCGCCGATTAAATCCTGAATATAATTTCATTTCAAGAACATATGCTTTAATAAATTTTTACAATAACAAAGAAAAACAAAATCAAATAACTAAACAACGAGACCTCAATCAAGAATCGGCGAAAAACGGCCGTTTTAGATTCTTTTTTAATCGGTCGGTTAACAGTTTTAAGCATCAAGGTGCGCAATTGTTGCGATTTCTAATTTTTCGATCTTATTTAAAAGTATGTTAGCATATAACTATCATTTCAATTAAAGTACGTTTTTTAATCACCCGTTTACACAGGCAAATCTTACATTATTGTCTGTCAAATTTGTTGTGCTTGTTATTCTCACATCTCAATGTAAAGTTAGGTTCCTTCTCTGTGCCACCGTAATCACTTTTTTCTGATATATTAAGGAATTTAAATATATTTTAACTTAATATTTGTTTAAAAATGCCTTTTCAAACCTCTTTTCTTTGCTAGCGTCCATTTCTGTTTACTCGAAAATGAGTATAATCTACTTATGTATGTATAAACCTAGTGTAATAAGATTTTGATTATTTGATTACGTTGTAAAGGATTCAAGCCGGTCATATAAACACATGATTTATAGACAAAATGTACTGCCGGTTTCACGAAAGCAATTCAAATGAAAAGTTATTATTTTTTCAGTCAGTTTGAAATGAAAAAAATAACGCGGTGATACGAAACCAAGACCTTCGATGTCCGCCTCACCTAAGAGTCTCGTATTTCTCATTTAAGTTTGTATTTTTGCTTTTATATTCGTCGATTGTATCGAGTATGTATTCGTTTTATATTTTTTCACCAACTTTTCTAAGACAAAATATTCGAAAAAGTATATAGAAGAGACATCGCTTTAGTAAGACTGCTTTTACACAGTTCAAGTATTAAATTCAATTCTGCTCGCATGTGGAAGCGTGGGGGTGCGTCTGTACCGTCAATTCGTTTCAACTTTCTTGCTTTGCTTTTGGCATTTTCGTTGCTTTCCATTTAAAGAACCAAAAACTTGAATTCATCAGAATTGAAACGTGTAAAAGCAAATAGAAAACGCAAAAGAGAATGAGCAAGAATCGCTTTCAAGTACTTGAAACATGTAAATCGGGTGTAAACATTTTGTAAGAATTTTTCAAAACATTAAAAACGTAAAATGTGTTAATGCAATAAATCAAATTTAACAATTTATAAAACCATATAATAAATCGGAGTATTGAACCTCCTTTGCACAATAAATATTTTAAACTAGTAAACTAACCATCCTCATCACACAAATAGCACAATTCAAAAATCCCGTTCGAGGCAATTGCATTAATACGAACGAGGTTACTTGCACGAGAAGTATCTGTATCCATTGAACGTGAAATAGTTCCCTGCTCTCCTTTCTCAAATTTAAAAGAAATAAATAGATTTGAAGAAGAACGAATAAGTATTTGAAAAATTTGTGAGTGCATATTTACATATCCTAATCGAACACAGTAGAACATATCATAAGAACAATTTAATGATTTGTTTGTACAGCCAGTTGCTGTGTATTTTCCTAAAACAATATCAAGTTTTAATGGCATGTACATACATGTTATAAATTGGAGCTAATCGATATTTATTATTTTTAATTTTTAAAACATTTACTAAAATTGCATTTAAATACATTTATATATACTTAATCTTTTTTTTTAAATTTCAGAAAACTTAAGTCTTGTAATTTTCTATTATGTTAAATGTAAAACTCTTAAAATTTTAGACGCACTCTTTTTATATGGGAATAAACGGGAATAGCACAAATTATCGTAAACTAGTAATTTTAATATTTGCTTACGTTTCTTCTTTCGATGCATTCCCGATGGATGATCGGATCGAATAACTTTCGTTTTCGCTACTTTCTCGATAATCGAACAGATCGGAAACATTGCCGTTTTAATTAATTTCTCGATAACAAAACGGATCGAAATAACTTCCGTCTGAGATACGGTTTCACTATCGAAAACACTACGCAAAAAATAGAAGTATTTACAGAAAAAGCGTTCCCGATGACTTTTACTGTTTCGATCTCGCTCCTCTCTTTCAAGAAAGTAATTTTGTCGTTTGACAGTTTTATAGGTTTTTAAACGAAGTTATCTGGAACGCAACTTATGTATTAATTAACTCATAATCGTACGAAGACTTTAGTGGGCGAAAATTAACGGTTTTTTTATAGCTTTAAGCTAATAACTTTGAAAACGAAACTTGTTGTTAAAAAGTATACCTAGTAAATGAAACTTAATTCATTCTTTTTGAAAATTCCTGCTGATCAGTACTTTTTGTTGTTAACACCTTATTTAGGTGCTGTACGAAGACTCTATTGGTTCACTGTATATTAAGACAATCACTGAATGAGGTACATTATTCTGAAAGTCCCCTTTCTCCGAAATTTCTCTCTGGTTCCGTTCCTGGAAGCGATTCATCAGATGGTATGCATACTCGACAGTGTTTCCTATAGACATTTAAATTATCAGAAAAAGGACTTCATTAGCTAAAACAAATTTCGCCATACGAAGCAAACCATATGAGTAGGACTGTATTACATACTAATGTATGTATGTACATAGATAGTACCCATTAGATACATACATACGTATAACGGTGACAATTTAAAAGCCCACTATAATTTTTCGCAATATTTTCTCTTCAAACAAGATTAAATAAAACAATTTCGCTACATTATTTGATGTTTTAAAATAGATCACATCTCATATGTATGTACATACATATGTCTATCCCTGTCGGAATAAATCTTAAATTAACCACATGGAAATGTGATTGGAAATAAAGTATTTTTACTTATCCTTTTTGCAACTGAGTTTAAATCCCACTAAGCCAAATGCTTTTTAAAGTAGTAAAAAATGTAATTCTAACTAAATATTTGAAAACAAGTTTACATACTTCGTCTATATGTACATATGTAGCTGAGTTTCTAGGGGTGCTTGCTATTGTTTTGTTATGTTTCGGGAGATTTTGTGTTGAATTTCCGACTGCGGAAACATATTTACTATATAATACTAAAAAGTTAATTTTTTATTTTGTGTCTCCGAAATATTAAAAATTATTTTTCAAGTTCTTCAAGCCAAATGTATTTGCTAATAGCTGAAATTATACATATGCAGTGTCCGTCCAACACCATGTTAATAAAGTCAGTTGCTTACAATTAAAACAGAAGAAAAATTTCAACTATTTGCTTGTATTTTATTATTAAATAAATTGCTTTCAAAGCTACGGAGTTTCCGACAGGGTATGTACATCGCAATGCGGCAAGTCACATTAACAAAGGAAAGTGAATATAATTACAGAACCGTCCACTGCGGGTGATTTTCTGCGATCAAAGCGTCTGTCCGTTTTGGCTGGCTCATCTGTCAGCCCCTGACGCATAGTGCAAACAAACCCAGTCGTCATTATAGACACTCACTATATTAATAAAGATGATCGTCTAGCCCAGGCGTTCTTAAACGTTTAAGATCATGGAATTCCACTTCAAATTACTAAAACTCAATGGCAGTGCTTTTTAAATATGAATTTTACTAAAAATAGTATACATTTGTACTTTAAATTTCAACGTGAAGAATGAAATTGTTTCACTGTTATTAACTATTGTGAATGCTTCGTAAATGGATTTTGTACCAAACCAATATTACTACTACCATCTGAAAAATAATCTGGCAAGTGACCAGTTATGACATTTCACTTTTTATTTGGCAATTTATCCTTGTAGAAAGTTGTATATAACCCGTTGCCTCTGCCTACAGCGACCAACAACACATACCGGTTGAAAAAAATTATAAAAAGAAGCTGTCAAGCGCAAGCTCAATGCCCTTATGTAGGTATGGCACTGAGTACGACAATCATAACAACTACGAGTACATACTGTGTTTACTTGAAAATAGATACATAACTGCGTCTCGGTCAAGCTTTTTTATAGAACTTTTCTTTCTGTGTGCAACTCAAACCGACCGTCGCACAGTGGGCCACCCCATACAAGTTAGCCGGAAAAAATATATTATTGGTTCCTATGGTTGCATTTGTCGTAAAGAAATTCAGCTTGATTGGGGATCGATTGGATGGCTCCAGCGTTCCTTTGAGGAAGGGTT